GCGTTCACTCACTGCTGACAGTGCATTCAAACAGGGCTGCTTTTCCCAAAAGTATCATAAGAAAGCATTAAATCTTTTGGTAACGGCAGCCCTGAACAATGCTTATCAGAGGACAGAAGGACAGAGTTATTTCACAATAAACAAACTGAAATTGTAGCCTACATAGTTTGTGCAATTACAGTTATTTAAATTGAACGTTGAAATATATAAGGCATATTGAATGTTAAAATGCATTTTAAACAAAGTTAAGTGCTTATTATTACCCATTTTACTCTTAGTAATTTAATAATTTAATACATTTCATCATTTAAAAGTTTAGTGCAGAAGTATCGAATCGGTATCGATATCGACGATACTGCCTTGAAAAATATCGGTATCGTATCGAAAACAAAATAAGTGGTATCGCCCATCCCTGATCTCGATCACGCGACACCATTATACACAGCGCTGGGAGATACAGTGAAGAAAGTAGTTCAATTCACCGCAGAATCAATAACATATCTGTGAAATCTTGTGAGAAGCATTCGGCGCAGAATTCTGTTAAAGCTACAGATATCAGAACAAATGCCGCTGATGTGGAAACCAGGAAAACATTGTTCAATAAACACAATTCACCACCATTCATCATTGGATTTAACATAGTAAAACTACAGGAACAACTTGTGGCAGAAATGGTCTAATGTTTTCAAGTGTTTTTAAATGCTTCACACAACTTTTCCCAGCACTTCAAAGCTTGAAGTATTAGCGAATTTGAAAGTTATTTTTAATGTGATGACATTATTTGTTCATCCTTCATAGGTTGCCCCCATTTATAAAACTAAAAGTTTCATAATGTATACAAAGACTTATTTAAAAATAAAAAATACATTAAATTATCACTAGTAGGTGGCTGCAGAGAAGTACTTATAGGCTTATCAGCCATTTCCACTCCCTAATATATATTTTTTTGTATTTATTAAATTATGAATGAACATTATGAATGACAGTAATAAAAGGTATATTTTCACTGCAAAACAATAAGATATGCCACAAATTTTGAGAAAAGCCGCAGCAAAATTGGTAATTTTAGGCCGCAAAAATCTGAAAAAAGTCCCACGAAATCCTGGAGGGACTGGATAATGTAACAGTCTTAAATCTCTATATCTAAATCCATGAATTGTTTTATTTGGTAAGTAGCTGTTCAAAATGTACAGATATTCTGTCATTATCATATAATAAACCCCTCTCGGTGTGACACAAGACCATGACAGGACGGATAACCCTGTCAAGATTTATTGTGTGCTAGCTTGCATATAAAACATGGTGTTTCATGCTTTGTGCACAATGTGTGCTCAGTGCATACATGTACAGTATGTGTGCATGCGCTGCCTCCTGGACAGGTGACATCCAAAGTGTGTTACCATGGTAACAAGTCAGCTAGAGCTACAGTCGAGCGGGCGATGGTAGCACTCACTGCAAGCATTTCAGAATGCACGCACACTGGAACACATTTTGTGCGATGCTTTCCATTGCCAACTAACTGCATGTAGACGGCTAGATGCCCTTGTAGAGGCTGCTAAGCCATCTGTTGTGTGTTTTTTTCATCTGGGCCTGCAGCGCAAAACAGGGAGGATGCATGTATTCGAGAGTTAGAGGAGGGGTGTTTGGATTCATGTATTTAATCCAGACAGAAACATGACTAGCCAGAAGGGGGATTGGGTGTTAAAGTATCGCTCATTAACTTTGGTTTTCCCCTCCAAAACCCACCCCATACTCATTGCCTATGCATCACACATTAACACATGCACATACGAACAGCACACACACTTGGCAGCAAGAGCCAACGTCTCTCTCCCACCACCTTCCCAGAAAAGCAGCATCATCAGGGACCAGGGTGTGGCTGTGTTTGTGCCTGCATAGACTCCATGACATGTGGCAATCACACTGGAGGCCATTTTCCTTCTGTAAATGCCTGATAAATTCATAACGATTCATTTCATTTGCTATAATTAAATCATATTATTAAATCATGTAAATTGTTTAATAATGTATACACTTTAATGTTATAATTGAATGATAGCAAATCTGTGTATTATTGACTTAGAAGTTATAAATAAATATTATTTAGATTTTGTTTACTGTAAATATTAATACATTTAATATGCATTTGCATGTAATTATTAAGTATACATACGAATATATTTCATTTACTATCATTAAATTATATTAATTACATTGTTATTAAGTAATAGTTTATATATAATGTAATATTATATAATGTAATATCAAATTGTTATTACTATATTATTTAGAAATTATGTAAATATTTATTTTTGTATATTTAAATTTGATATGCTATTTTCATGTAATTAAAAATCAGATATTATTAGATTATTTTACAGATAGATAGATATAGAGATGTCCACAAAATTGCTAAAAATTAGATTTATTTCACACAAAATGTACTCAAATTATTTATTTACAAGCTTTGTTCAGTGACTCAATTATTGACAAAAAAAAGATTTTTGCATTTTTCAGTCAGTGTCAATTATGAATGTTTGGTAATTTATTAATTTAATATTATATAATTTAATGTTATCAAATGTGTATATTGTTATTGTGTTTTCATGTAAGTAAAAATCATTAAGATATTATTAGACAATTTAACAGATATGTGACCTCAAATTTGTATTTACAAGTTGTGTTCAGTGACTTCATTGTTCAGTGATTTTTGTATTTTTTCAGCCAGTGTCAATTACTTTATTTTAAAGTTTCTTGTGTAATTATACATTTAAATACTGAGTAATATTAATTAACAATATGTACTTACTATAAGGCTAGGTTTAAGGTTAGTTTCATGTAATTTTACTTCTAACATGTAACGAGACTGCAAAATAAAGTGTTTCCGAACCCTGTTCTTGGAGGCACACCAACAGTAAAGATTTTTGGATGTCTCCTTATCTGATTCATCCGTTTGAGGTCTTGGAGTCCACCATCGAGCTCTCGAGTTGAATCAGGTGGGTTTGAGTTTGAAAACGTGTACTGTTGTTGTGCCTCCAGAAGCAGGGTTGGGAATGGGAAACACTCTTAAACGCCCTGTGTGATAACAGAATACAGAATGCCTTGTATCCTATTATATTTAGTGTCAAATGTTAGTCTGCATTTGGTGTTATATGTCTGCAGCGATGCTATTCCTGAAATAGAGCCCTACTCAGCACAGGAATTTTAAACATGGCATGGCAGTATATCAACACATCAGACAAATTGTTATTGTCAGAGGACATGCAGTCATTTGGGGGGTAGAGTTAGGGGCCGTTCATACAGAATGTGTCCTGTGTGAGTGGCCCCTAACACACTTTCAGTAGCAAGATGCTATTCTTGGATTCTAAATAAGAAAGCAGGTGGGCCTTCACAATAATTTTAGAACTTAAAACTGCTGGTAGAAAGAAAATATGTCAGCATTTTGGCCAGGACATGTTGATGTATCTTTCAAAGTGTCAGCAATTTTTGAAGTAATGGGGCCAGTAAAAACTCAAGTATCTGTTAAACTACATTGCAACACAAATATTGTCATTTCTAGATTGCTGGTAAATATCCATAATGATTCCCTGGCATTGCTCTATTAGAATGTATATATTCTTCTAAATAAGAAAGCAGGTGGGCCTTCACAATAATTTTAGAACTTAAAACTGCTGGTAGAAAGAAAATCTGTCAGCATTTTGGCCAGGACATGTTGATGTATCTTTCAAAGTGTCAGCAATTTTTGAAGTAATGGGGCCAGTAAAAACTCAAGTATCTGTTAAACTACATTGCAACACAAATATTGTCATTTCTAGATTGCTGGTAAATATCCATAATGATTCCCTGGCATTGCTCTATTAGAATGTATATATTAGATTTGAAAACTGATTAAATGGGCATTTCTTCTTTAAGACTAAATTGTAAATGCCCACTGCTATTAATTGTTTAACACATTTACATGAAAGTAGTACTGTACAAGTTGAACATTTAAAAAAAACTTTGACAATATTTCCATGCTGCTAAGAGGAAGAGTGAGAAGTTGACTGTTCAGTCACTGGCTTGATTCACTGACACATAAACAGCAATAAATCATTTTGCGATAAAGAACTCTGACTGTACATGAGTCATTACATATTAGCATTAGAATTAACATGATTACTTACAAGTTGTCGCATTACTGTCAGTCCATCTGTATCTTTTCGTAAAAGTCTGTTTGCAAAGACTGCATCGAATTGTGACCGATTTACCAAAGAATAAAATGTCTTATGTAATAAAAACCCAGAAGTAGAAAAAGAGTCATTCTGGCAGCTTGTTTTCAATAAAAGCTGTTTTTGGACTAGAGTTTTGAGCTCTGAAACTTACAATATGTAAACCAGAATTTGGTTTCTCAATTCATGACCCCTTTAAAAAAGCTGTTTAAATACATTGTCTAGTATATAATAATTCATACATTGATGGTGGAGATGAGCTTTATAAGCAGGCAATTGATATGGATACTCATTGTAGACAAACATATTTATAGCATTTTGAGTTAAATATTTGTTTTTAATAATCATGGACAAAATTGGCAGACATTATCACATACAGTCAGCTAATTGAATAGTTAACCTTGTAGCAATGGTTGTAGTACAATTCCCGATGTAAAATATCAAACACTGTAAGTCTGACATACCTTGTAGTTCACTCGAGCGGCCATATTTGCAATGCCTACAGGCAGCTATTTTGGGCATTCAAGACCAAGTCTGCTTGATTTAGGATGTACTGACATGTCAAAAATGGGTTGCCACACTCACATTTAAATAACATATTTAATGAGTGTGTGAAGTCGCTACCTACTTACTTCAGTGTTGTGATATATTTCTAACTGAAATGGCATATTAAACAGAGGGCAGATTTTATTTTAGCGTTCCTCCTCTCCCATTTCTCGCTCACAGCAAACTACTGGTTTGAAGGGGATTGGCGGAGCCACCAAACTGATGTCATCACAGAAGTAATGCCACCCAGGTGAAAAAGAAATATATTTAAATTGTGCTTTTTCAGACATAGTTACTATATTTAAATTATACTATACTAAGTGCATATTAAATGTATTATTTTGAAACAACTTTAAGTATATTAAGTGTATTTCAAGATATGTTTAAGTTGGATTTTAATCTATTTGTAATATATTTAATATATTGAAATTGTGTTAAATTGGAACCACTTTAAGTATATTTAGTGCAATTTAAGTGTATTTCTTAAAATACATTTAAAATTTCCTTTTAATACTTCATGAACTACAGTTAGAGTATATTTGAAGCATCGTTTTAATGTACTTCAAGTACATTTCAATTGTATTTCAGCTCATTGGAAATGCATTAGCATTACACTACTCAAGATTACATATCTAGAAAAGATTACATATCTAGAAAACTTTAATGTATTATATATTGTTGTGTACATTACAAATATTCATAAAGTACACTAAAAAAGGACAACAGCATATATACTTTGGTGAAAAACAAAACATACTATTAAATGTATTAAAAATGCACATGAAATACAAGTATGTTTATAGTATATTTGTATTACTATAAACATACTCAAGTACATTTTAATACATTATAAAAAAACAAATAAAAAAAGACTGAAATGCTATGGCAGAGCTATCTTTTCCATTTGTAGAACATTTCAGTTATACCGGCCTTACTAAAAAGTACAGAATTTTACATCAATTAATAAATAAAAATTACAATGCAATTTTCTGAAGAAAAAAAATACATAAAAAAGACTGAAAAACAAAGTGCATAAGTGAATAGCTGTGTGTGTGCAAAGACTGAAGATGATAAAGTTCAAGCAACAGAATAGGGAGGGATGGAGGGGGTTTTGGAGGTGGACAAGGAGATGGCGTAGGGATGGTGAGAGGCAAAA